AAAAAAAAAAAAAAAAAAAAAAAAAAAAAAGGAAAAATTATGAATAGTTTCTCTATGCCATGCCTATTCCACATGGGATTTAAACTGTATAGTTAGGCAAAGTTGAAGAGCTCTTTTGTAGCAGGCACTGAACAACTGAAGTTATAAATTCAAGAATTTCATCACACACAAAACAAATCAATAAAAACAGCAATGTGTTAGACTAGCATTCAAAATCAGAACAAGGTACTAAAAACACCATTTCTGTAAATGCCTTCTATATAGCCTAGTTCTAAAAATGAGTTAACTGCACCAAAAAAGTATGGTTCGCAGCCCAAACAGCAGAGGGCAGTCATATTCCTTAATGGAAAAGCATCAACTAGTATTTTAACGTTACTAAATTAATGCAGTAAATAAGTAAAACCAGGTAAAATATATACATATATGCAAGACAAAATGAAAAGCATGGATGTATTTAATGTTAAGTGCTCACAGAATTCATAATACAAAAACAAGCAGCAAATATTCGCTCATTAAGGGAAAAGCAATTCTTTAAATCAACATCTATGTATTCTGTGGACTAGTGCATACCTGATACATAAAGGTTCAATATGAATGTTATCTGAACATACTCAAATGCTATACTGATACAAATAAAGAGTGCAGAGATTTCTTTAACTATAGCTATGTATGCACTTTGAAGCCTTATTTCAAACTTCCCAGTTGATGTTATAGTATGTATTCACAAGACTCCAACTTTCACAAGGTGTCCCTTTTCTCTTAGCTAGGAGTGCCCTGAGACAAAGAAAAATAGATTAAGTGGCTGGCTGCTTTTTTCTGCTAGTCAGTATTTTTTTAAAAGGAAATACTATACTAATTAGGATGGATATAACCAACTTATTCCATTTCTAGGATATAAACGTTTACTCATGTATGTAAACAACTACGAGGGAAAGATCTCAGTAGAAGAACACAGAGGGGTAAGATGCTTAGTTATGCTTCATGGAGATGTTCAATGAAGTGGAATATAGGGTTCCATCTCAGAGGAGCTGTCATCTATTGCTGAAAAATGGGTCATTTCATTTTAATTTTGCTAGATGCTGACTTAACTAAAAGAAAGCAAAGCAAGTAGCGTTCTAACTTAAAAGGTAGGTCTAAAATTCAGTATAATCCCTATGGACAAAATAAACACCAACGACTAAGAAGGCAAACAAAATTAACATTTGCATTCAAAAATTTAGGTAACTTGGCCCAGTGACTACAAATAATACCTACAAATCAAGCAGAGTTCTTAACAATGACAAATAGTGCCTTTGACCTAATTACAATTCTATTCCCCTAGAGTCCAAGAAGTGGCTCTCCAACTTTTGGGTTCTTAAAAGTCCTCAATAGAAGACTTAAATCTGACTTAGGACTTGCTAGTATAGATATATCCATTCTCATTTTAATATTCTAATATATCTTTTACTAGCCTTCATAACTGAATATGGGCCATACTGCTAACTTAAACATAAAAAACAAAAATATGAAACAGCAAGTCACCTTTTTGTCAACTTCACTGTCAGAATCACTGCCGGAAGAGCTTGAAGAAACAAGTTCCTTTGATTTAGGCATTCTGAAAGGAAAACACATTATATACATAATTTTTTAAGTTGTTCTACCTTTAGCCCTCGCCAATTAAAAAGTTAACGATTTTCAGGGCTCACAGGTGCAAGGTCCCAAGATTGATCCCCAGTACCAAAAAAATAAATAACAATTTTCGTAGTTCATTACACCATTTTATGGTACTTGAGTTGTTATACTGAACACAAATAATATGCAACATGAAATTTTCTGAACCTAATTAAAAGAACTAAATGTCATGCACACAGTCCTCATTTCCATCTTTCTCAAAGCCAACTGAGTATTTTTTTTGAAGACAGGGTCTCATTATGTATCTCAGGCTGGCCTTCAATTCAGCAATCCTCCTGCCTCAGCCACCATGCACACACAGCTCATCCAACTGACTCTTTTTAACACTTCATTCTAGAGGGGATATAGACGTTTACAGATAGTGTAGATTTCAAGAAGGCAACTGACATTTACTGTCAAAGCCAGATGAAACATAATTGTACTGTGTACTGCTTTACATATCTACCAATTAGATTAGACCTAACAGAATTATTCACCAAGAACAGACCCCTAACTCTCACGTGAAAGGTCAGTTTTACTAGGCAACTGTGATATCTAATTATCTTTTATCTATTTTGTTTGTATATATTGACTTTCTTTGGCCACACATCAAAATAACAGATTTTAATTCCGATCACAAATTACACATAATTAGCTGGGCATGGTGTCACGTTTGTAATCCCAGCATTCAGGAGGCTGAGGCAGGAGAATCACCAGGTCAGCCTACAAAGCGAGACCAGACAAAAAAATTTCACATAATTTGCAAAATCTTACACTGATTTTCTACTCTAGAGTACAATTAAAATTTGTTTATAGAAAGGGCAAAACCCTTCAGGTCCATCGCCTAGGGCTTTACTTATAAATCAGTGTTTACTTAGGGCCTGAGCATAACAGAGAGAGACTATGTCAAAGTCTAAAACCAAAATTTCAAGTTATGTGGGTTCCTCTTTCCAAGGCACTTTTAATACTACATGGTAAAATAACACTAGATGGTAATGATTAAAGCACTTGACTCTCCATCTCAAGAGACTAGGTCCTATTAATTTTTGCATGCCCAAAAGAATTTACTGAATACAATAAATGCTGAATAAACAGAAAATACTTTCAATTTCTCCTCACAGAAGGAAAAATCATAATCTAGCTCTCTAGATTAAACTTGCATTAGAGAAACCCGGCGTGGTTGCGCACCCTGTAATCCCAGCACTAGGAGGCTGGGGCAGGAGGGTCACTGTGAGTTCGAGACCAGCCTGGGCTACATAGTGAGCGCCAAGTCAGTATCCAATACACAGTGAGACCCTGCCCCCTCAAAAAAAACTTGTATTAGCATTGGCATTGAATGAGGTCGATAAAAAAGTGGACCATCCCAATTCCGGCCATTTCGGGGAATTAGCTCAGTGGTTCCGCCGTCTCAAGGGCAAGGTCCCAAAGTTTGATCCCCGGTATCAAAAAATAAATTTTAAAAACCAATTCTGGCCATTTAATTTTAAAAAGCTCAAACTGTGGCCAACACAACCACGCTGATTTTAACCGATAATTTCTTCAAGAGTAAATTCATGAAGAACTGCACTGTCCCTAATCACATTTCATACATTTTTCCAGTTACTGCTTCATTTTACAAAGTTATCTCAAATATCAATTTATATCAGTTTTCTAATGCTATCTACTAATACAATCGCCTAAAAACCTTTTCTAAAAAGGTAATTAAGTGGAACATAACCTATTTTCACTTGCAAAGTCAAGCATAACCACCTTCCATTAGTAAGAGTTGCCTGGGGGGCCTAAAATCATTCCCAAGAATACTTAACCCAAATAGTCTATTCCAGGGGAAAAAAAAAAAACAGGATATTGGTAACTAAAACCAACATCTTTGCACTTTTGACAAAATGAATTTTTACTTAATAAGACTTTACAGTTTCAAAGGCGGGGGGGTATGCTCGCAGTTCAGGCAAATGGTTACTGAAGGAACTATACTGTAAAATAGTCAAAACGCAACTGAAAAAGGTTAAAAAAAAAAAAAAAAAAA